TTCAAGCAACTATTATTAAATAACATTCTAGAACATGTTCTATAATAATACATAATATATACATACATACTCGTATATATTACATGTATATATTGTATGTATAACATATTTTTCAGGATTTACGAGTTTATATAATGTAATTTTCTAGTTCTATTTAAAATATTTAAAAATAAACGTGTATACATGAAAAATTATTAAGGTAAACCTTTAAATTAAAAAAAAAATGGGCAAAAAACAAAGAAACGAAAAAAAAAGCTTTAAGAGAATTCTTAATTTTTATGACCTAAAAATGAGAATATTAAATTTATGAAAAACACATTAATGCAAGAAATGACACTAGTGCCCTGATGGCATCCAAATTATTACAACACAAGTAATAATAATAGATATTTTGTTTAACAAAAAAAAAAAAAAAAAGAATATTTTAACCCTTTTTTTTGCACCAAAAAATAAATTACATTGAATTTTTTCTGCATACATACATACATGCAATGTATATAAATAAATCTAGATATTTTGTTAACTTAAACTTTTAAAATAAATTTTTTACACACACACAAACTATATATAAATATGTATAGCTACATTTTTATAATATTTACAGTTTAAATCAGTTTTACTCCTAAGGGTATGTAATAAAAAAATAAAAACAGAAAACAAAAAAATTTGTACAATAATTTTATTTTTAAAGAAAAGTCAACAACTTACATGAAACTTTTATTCCTTCAATGCATTTTAAATAAAATTCATGCATGCATTCCGTTCATAAAATACAATGGAGAACAAAATGTACATATTCATCATACTTACATACATATGAACTGTTAAATATTATTATGTGTTGAATGTATCGTAGAAAATGAAATATACATTTTTATACGCAATATATGCGCCTAACGTTATGCACAACATTAATGTACGTATATAGGAGGAAATAATGATTTTCTTTTATATGACAATTACTGAAAACTTTTCGTAATAATTTTTTTTAAATTACATAAAATTTATAAAGCACATAAGTGATATATGAAACTATAGTACTATATAAATGTAGGTTCTGAACCTGGAAGGAAGAAATCTTCTCCCTCTAATTCTCGTTTTCTCTCTATAATATTCTTAATAGTCATATATGACTATGTGCGGTGTAAAGAGTGTACAAAATATGGGGGAAGAAACTTTTCTCTATGTATTTTATTATTTATTTCAAAAGTTTCCTATTATTTTAGTTCTCGCTCACTTCCTTAGGCTCTTATACGTGTTATTTTCTTATTATTAATAAATTGTGGTGCAAAATACAAAAAAAAAAAAAACAAAATTTTTTTCAATTTCAAAACTAAATTCTTTTCCCCTATGAAACACTTAACCATCCAAGTTTTGAAGTATGAAGGGAAAAATTAATGAAAACAGCTGTAATTTTTATAAAATTTTTATATGTATAAGTGTATTTAGGAATGTGTTCCCTGTTTTTTGTACAAAATTTGTTTCAAAGCTTCATTTTAATTAAAACAAAGTTATTTATTTTATTTAAAGTAAGTTTTTATTTTGAAATTTCATAAAGTAAAAGGGGAGAAAGCTAATTTTTATATGGTAAACATGACATAGGCAATTTTTATGGCCATTACAGTAAATTTATAAAATTAAATTTTTTTTTTTAGAAAAATTTAATAAGTTTAAATCAAATTGCCATATGTTATAATAAATATATTCTAATCATGTTTATTTTCTGCAACTAGCTATTAAGAATGAAATTTTGGGAATTTATTAGAAATTTGTTAGCTTCCTTGTTATTTAACTAAAATTATTTAATATTCGGTGCTGATAATAGATGGTTTTGTTTTCGAATTGTAATACTTATCTATTATTATAATTAATTAATTTGGGGGCTTCTTGATTTTACTAAAATTTTAAATTCATTTTTATTAATTTTATCATAATTTTTATTGTACCGTGAATTGAAGTTGTAACTAAGCCTCCTACATTACGTGCGATACACCCAGACAGAGCTATACTACATAATTATATATACAATTATTTGAAGAGAATTTATGAATTCCAATTTGTTATTATGGCAATTACTATTTTCTCTAAAGAGATAATTCATAGATTTAGTATTCACATTTTATATTAGAGCTTTCATTTGTTCACACAGTACTGTACATGTATGTATGTAAATTTAAAGTTTTTTTGAAAAAAAAATTTGTTCAAATTTTATACAATATTGAAACAATAAATAAAAACAAATTGTTGTTTTTGGCTGTTAATCTCATAAATTTAATATTTCATTCTCTATAAAATTTTTAATTTCGAAATTTACAAAAGCATCATGACATCATTCAAAAATATTTCATTTTACTCTACTAATATAGCAATTACATTGTTTTGAATTCTTGAATTATAATGTCAAAATTAAAATTATAATTGAGATCGTAAATTAGTATAACACATTTGTTTTTCATTACAAAATTAACATAAATTTAATTTTTGAATTTATAGTGGTAAACTGTGGAAACAGTGATTGTATAGCTTATATCAGTAATAAATTTTGATACATTTTTGTTATAATAATTTAGAAGACCTGGTATTTGTGCCATTCCTTACTTCCTAGAAATTCAAAAAAAAAAATTGAATTTGGATTTTAAAAAAAAATTAATTACATTTTTTTAAAGAATTTCTTTGATGGCTATATAGTCCTAGTTTTAAAAATTTTCTGTCTCTATTTTTGGACTACGACTCCGATAATAATTTTTTTTTCGTAATTAAACATTTATTTCTGAGCCTTAGTTCTTTCTAACTTTTAATTTTTTTAACAGACAGGAAATTTTTTTAATATTTTTCTAAATTCATTCATTCGGTAAGTACTACATTCAGTTATTCTAAATTTTACCACTTCCGCTTTATTAAACCGATATAAATTATTTTTTTTACTAAAATTATTATAATTTTTTAAATTTTTCAAGCTTTCAAAATCCAAAATCTTTTTGTTCTACACAATTTCATTAAGATTGTTATACCGACATTAAAAATATATAAAAATTTGTGCAAATCATAAAATTCACAATGTGGATGGCCATTTTGCCTTAATTTATGAATTAAAATGTCACTGCTTGTAAATTTCATTAAAATTCTAACGATTAAATTAATTTCTTCAAAAAAAAATTTTTTTAATCGCATCTTAAAACTTTTAATATAGTAGTAAACAATTAAGAAAATTTTATAATTAAACGAACAATGAATAGATCACCTACTGAGCAGCCAGGCTACTGTGTTTAATATTAAAATTCTTTTCTTAACAAATTCTAATGGTTTATAGCGTAATTTTCTTTTCATTACACTTGCCAAAATTAATTTTGTTTTCTAAATGAATTTTATAATTTTAACAAATCGTTTATTCAAGCTGGTTTCCATATTGACTTTAATTTTGTATTTTTTTTGTTTTTTTTTTTTAAATATAAAATAATTTACGATTTACTTTTAAAGGCGGATTATTTTTAGAGAATTTTTCTTCTTCTGTCTCTTTTTTTTTCAAAAACTTTCTAATAAAAAATGCGGAACAATACTTTTTTGGTATTAATTTTTTGAATGTTATGAAAAATCATAATATTCAAAAATGAAATTAATGTGAGCAGTTATAGCGTATAAGGTGTACCACGATTTTAGTTATTTGAATAAAAGTTAAGAAAAGTGAAATATAACAACGAGTAAATATCGATTTGAAGAATTTGATTTTTAAAAAACTTGATGGATATTATTAGGAAGTTTATAATGATGGTCAAATTATGTGGGGCTATCTACGTATTACCATCTTGGTTCCTTATGGAAGTATTTTCAATTTAGAATTGTTGTTTAAATTTTCTATTTATAGTGAACAATTTAATTGCTAAATTACGGACAAATTTTTACATTATTATAAAAATTTTATGATCTCAGAAAAGTATAAGTTGTGAACGGGAACAATTCATATATTGTTCCGTACCTCGAAGTCTCCTACACATCAATTAAATTCATTTTATGAGTACACAATCTATTCTATAAGATAAACTTGCTTCCTATTCATTGCATATAGAAGTTTAATTTATTTTAGCCTCATGATATTGAAGAACAAACGATGATTATTCGAAGAATACGAATTTTCTTTTTGAATTGTGCTTTTATTCTGTGCTACTCCCATAAGTATGCAATTTTGTGCAAATTACATAAACTAAAAAAATAACCCTATTAAATTTAAAATTGAAATAATTGAAATTGAGAAGACTTAATACCGATTTTGATTATAGTTATCCCGATTTAATATTTACGTGAGGGCCGTTTATTCTTTTTCATCTTCATGGAAAATATTTTCAATTACATTTTCAATTAAAAAAAACTGTCAATCTTCTTATTAGTTAACTCAAGCCAAAAAATACTTAATAACCGCAGAACTTTGACATTAAATCTCTAGACCTTACAATATCTTTGATTCTACTAATTGACAGACTTTATGTAATTTGTTTTATTTAATCTTCCAGCTTTAATACATTGAAATTTTATAGAAAACAAATCATTCTCATTTTAATATCTTATCTCTTAATAAAATAAAAAAATAACATGTTTTTCTAATTAGAAAACAAAAACCAATATACGTCCATTTATTTCGATGAGATCATCAAGAAAAATTTAATATTGTTTAACTTGTTTTTTTTTCTTCTATGTGCTATCCTACTGTTGGATAAACGTAAAATGATAAAATATAGATATTTGCTCCGTCTACATTGGAAAGTGATTGATTTCTAAAGATGGATTTTTTATTTTTTTTATTAATAATACCAAATTAATGTGTGAATGCCCTAATTTAAACCAGCCTTTTCATGCTTATAGCTATATATTTTATTTTATGTTCTGAAGTGTATTTTAATATTTACCTAAAGTTGTTGAGTTGGTGTTGAAAAAATATAGACAAGCATTTTTATGCTTCATTCACTATTGAATTGAGTACAACAAAATGAAAAAAAATTTTTTTGAAAATGAAAAAGGTTGATATTAAGAAAAGCATGTACAGCAAAGACGTAATAATCATTACCAAAAATGAAAGATTAAAAAAAGATTTAACAGCGTTCTTCGTAGGTGGGTGAATTTTATGGTTTTCGATTTTTTCCATTTTCTACAATAAATTTCACCAAAAATTAATGAACTTTTCGGTTATATAAGAATAATTTTCTCTTACAATTGACAATATTAAAAATTAATGAGAAAATTGTCAAATTAAATATTTTAAATTCGAATTATATTTAAGTATATTTTTTTATTTACATCGTAAAATTTTTGGGTCAATTAACTTTGACTTTAATTTTATTTTTATTTTTGGTATATTTTTGTGTTTTTTTTTTCTAATACCTCCACATATGACGAAAAAGTGTAATATAACAAACTTAAATATTGTATTTAAGGACCACATGTGATTAGGCGACTTATAGCTATTATACAGCTTACATAAATTTTATAGCTACTCGAAAGCTGAAATTGATAAATTTTCAATAAAATTTTGAAATTTGTTCTAAATTTATTAAGACACGAAAGACTATATCGAGAGAAGTTTTTTAAGAAATCTTCAAATTCACTTCATTATCAAATGTATTATATAATAAGTAAATTAATAGCTCTTGTTGGAAGAATTAAAAATCATAAAAATGTACTTCGATAGATAAGCGATCCTGTTCCATTTAGTAGGGAGAAGTTCAAAAATTATATAAAAAATATTGATTAAGATTTAAAATTATTCTTTTCCCCTATTTACAAAATATAACTATGAAAACGTTGTGGTGTTAGGCGGACTAAATTATATACGTAGAGAAGTTATGTTGTAGGCAACAAAGAGAAAAAGGAAAGAAACCAATATAATGGTCAAGAATACAAAAATATATAAAAAGTTGAATTTAATAATAGAATTACTAAAAAGTTAATTAGTTTTCTATATAATAAGGTTAATATCAAACTTTAGATTTTTTATCATGTCATGTCATGGTGTCAAAAACTTTAACCTATTGTACATATGTATAAATACACAAAGATATAATAATATGTATATAGAATTTGTAATTAAATATTATGTTTAAACACTCTCACTCACCCTGTTCTCATTTCATCATATATATATATATATATATATACAGAATATAAAACAAGTGTATAATTTATTATTAGAAACATGTCAGCAACATTATTGCTAGAAGCTATCAGAAAATAAAAAAATAATAATAAAATATAAAATTTAATAAAACAAGTTGTGTACTATAAAAGGCATTTTTTGTACTTGTGTGAAAAGCAACTGAAAATGGAGTATAAAATTGCAAAAAACAAAAAAAATATGGTGCTGTACGTAAAAAATATCTTATTTCACATTAGTTCTCATTTCAATTTACTATAAAAAGTTTTAACTAAAATTTTGCGTAATTTATCGTAATATTCAGCAACTATTTCAAAATTTTATTATAACAAACTTGTTTTACGTTCAAATTTTTCTACGAAATTTGTTCTAATTTTATAAATGTTGTGATAATCAATTTGAAATTCTTTTCCAATTTTCTTAAATTTTAAGGAGTTGTTTTGGTTCGTATTACTTGTTCCTAGCTTATTATATGATTAGTTTAGGGTTTTTCAATATAAGAACTTTATAATTTAATAACTTTTGAATTTATCTAGAACCAAACATAACAAACTTTTAATAAGTATTTCACAACTTAATGCAGCTATTAATCCTCCTGCAAAGATTTAAAATTCGTGTATCCCGCATGTATAACATGCTTAAAAAACCATAATCACTATAATGGTAAGAGCAAAAGTTGTTTTTTTCATTATGAGAAAGTCACCTGATCTTTTTAAATTTTCTATAAATTTTACTTTTTTTCCTCAATAACTATCTCTGTATATTAAATAGAGAAATAGTATAAAAACTATGTACATACACACACATAAGAAAAAATAACCTCTTTAGTGTCGTTAATTAAAATTCTGACTCTGTAGTTTATTTGTTTTTCTATATAACACTATTTTCGCTTAAAAATGAAAATAGAAAAATAAAAAAAAAATAATAATAAAATGCAAACAAATAACATAGTTAAAGTAGTTCAAAGTCATTTTAAAATTATTATTAGTAAAACGTATAGAGTAGAAAAAAAAATTACAGGTAAGAATTACATACAAGTGATTAAAAATATTTTATTAACCTTTGTGTGTCCATTTGGGTGTACAGAGATCCAAATGCAAATTTTTTTAAATTTTTAAATTTTTTTTGGTTCTACATCAAAAATAGGTTACACTTGTTAAAAAGTAATAGTGATACGAAGAAATCTACATTACATGTTAATTTCCGAATATTTCTGAACCTAGTTGTAACAGGATTGGTGTTTCGAATCCAGTTATTTCTTAAAATTTCTGAAGTACAGAAATAGTGTAAATATTTTACTTTATTTTACTAACAAACTTCGTCTTTTTAGAAATATTCTAACCATGTTCTAGAAATAAATAGATTTTCGGAAAAATTCCGCGATTGTAAAAAAGTTTGGAGGCGTCACTTTTTTGAGGAAAATTACATTTTATATAATTTCTTAGTAACTTATTAGTTTCTTAAACAAAATTTTGCTAATTTAAAATAATTTTTTTAAAAAGTAGCAATTTTAAGCTTTATAGTAGACTTGTAATCACGTAGATATGTGATAATGGTTAAAATACAAAGAGGAAAAAAAATTAAAAATGGGTGTAGCTAGTTTTGTTTTATGATTCTCATACAATAGAAAGAAATAATTTTAAAAGAAAACGAGAAAAAATAGAGTTGACTGTGTCAACTCTGTGATATCCGTACGAATTTGTTTCCCTATGTGTTAATAAATATGCCATAGCTGACAATGAGACAGACTATGACCCTAAGTTGTCGTATTACCATTATAATTTATGCAAAGTTTCAGTACTGTGTTTTCAATATTTTCTAAGATATGGCCAAACAACCATTGAAGTTGTGTGGCAGCTACCAGAAATAAACAAGCAATTTCAACAACTTTTATCGAACACATTGACTCTACTAATATATTCGCTTGTCCGAAATTTCAATATCACGCTTTTATAGTTGCTGAGATAATGCCAAATAACTTTAGGAGTGTCAATACCACAGATTTTATAGTTTCTGAGATATACTCTAATAAATATTAAAGTTGTATGACAGCTATCCGAACCAGTACTCCGATTATGCACAATTCAAATAGGGTTCTGGCATTTACATTTGCTTAAATCATTTGTGCTAATTTGGTGAACTTAGTTTTAAGTAATCGTTGGGACGGACAGACGGAAAGACAAACCCGAATCGACTCAGAATTTGACGCTGAGCAAAAACATACACTTGAGTCTATATCTCAAAGCATTCTTTCTTAGTGTTACAAACGGTAAGGCAAATTTAGTATGCCTTACCGTTTGAACTTCGAACATACTTTCGTACGGATATAATGATGAGGCTAAATAACAGTGTTAATGGTGGTATTTTTCTCTTTTTATTTATTAATTCATATACTTAATATTTTTTTGATGAAATACAAGTACATTAATATAAATCCCGGAACAGCATATATTTCAAACTTATAGTGGTTATTATTCTCAAGTAAATAGGCCCAAAATTTAATTATTATTAAAATTGTTTTTAGTTTTTTACTTTTGCAATTCTTTTCATACATTGTCATATTTCATGCCAACACTAACGCGTGGCAATCATATTGTAGCTATATTATTACCCTTGCATCAAAAATTTCTGTTCATTACTAAGACAAAATAGCTTATTCGACAATTAAATTTTGATTGCAAAACTTGTAATTTAAAGCAAGTTTCAATTTTGTTTAGAAATTCAAATATTATTGAACATCATATTTTAGGAAGTCAGTGAAATTAGGTTAAACAAGATGAAAGATTTTTTAGTGAAATTTGATATTCGACAAGATTAAAGATATAAAGATTATTTTAGAATCAAATTCAAATCTATGTGACAATTTGTACATTCTTGAAATTTTCTCATTAAAACATGAAAAATTCTATGTGACAGTAGTAGTGTACGAAAAATTCTTAAATTATTAGAATTTGGTTGCCTCTTTTTCTTAGTTTTCCGCAAAATTCAAAATTATCAAGTTATAATTAGCAAGGGATTAAAAGAGAAAGAGAAAATTATTAGAAAATATTTTCAACACATTTTATAAATTTTTATTCATTAAAAAAAATTTTCTATTTCTTTTCATGATAGATCACCATCAGAACGATCTGGAAAAGGATGTTGTGGTCAATGGTTTGCTGGTCCACCATTACGTTCATTAATAGCTGTTGTAGCATTAGGTGGTGTTGCATGTGCTTTAGGTGGTGCTGCATTAGGTGCAACTGGTTTAGCTGGTCCACCGTCATCACACTTAACCGCGGCGTTACTTATGATAGGTAAGTTACATATTGTTTTTTATGCCATATGTACAATATTGAATTTGTTTCAAATTTCCAACAATTTTCGAATTTATACGAATCGCCATCCGGTTTTAGTAAATTTTAAATTTAGTCATATAAGAGCAATTAAAATTGGTCAGTTTAAGGATTATTGTAATTCTAAATTAATATTCAAACAAAATTAGATAATATGTGCTAAAATAAAATTTAACATTTAGAAAAAATTGCATTAGATTTTGTAACTGAATCTATGGTAATTAAAACACATGGAAAGCCCATAAAAATTCAATATTATTGTCTACGTCACACAAAAATTAAGTATGTCATTGTCAAACATTCTTGTGAAAATATTCTTTTCTAAAGAAAAACATGTGCAGTAAGTCTTTTTAAATCTTTTATGGTTTAAAATTGCCTTCAGAAATTTTCACAAAATTTTATATTCAAACATGAAAATAAAGCATAAAATAAACCTTGTATTTATGCATACATTTTTATTTTACTTTGAAATTTTATAATTGACTACTTAAATATTTAAATACCTTCATATTTTAATCCTTTTTAAAAAATATTATGAATATTTCATAGAACATAAATAATCATTATATTTTCAAAGACCACTGCTAATTAAGTACCTATACTGAATAAGGTTCCCTATAATTTCTTTTTAATTGATAATTTTAACATTTTAGAGCTATATAGAGTACTCAAATAGTGTCTAGACTATTTGATTTTTGTTTTGAGCTTTGAGAAGAAATTTTTGTTTTGGTATTTTGCAAAAAACGAAAAAAAAAATTCAAAGAGACAATTGTAAACTTAAAAAACAATTTTCTCTAATGAAAAAATTTTCCATTCTTCCTAAATAGATAAAACAAAAAAATTCATTTTCTTTGATTTTCAGAAACAAAAACTAAAAATAAAAAATGAAGATTCCTTTAAGAATAAATTAACAAACTCTTTGAAGAGGAAAAATATTAAAATCCTTTAAAATTTATTATCATAATACTTGTAGTACTGTTTTTTAGTTTTTCCGAAAAATTTTCTCTCCTTTTCTAAAATAAAAATTTTTATTTTGAAAATACGAAAAACTTTTCTCATTGACTATGACCGGCATGAATTAATATTTATTTTTTGGTTTGAAATTCTTTAAGTTTCAATGTTTTTAATTCAGAATTTAGTGTCTGGACTTTATACAATTATAGGTATTGAATGCATACATATTTCAGTACATAAGTATGTGTATTTAGTTAACGTTTTAATTTAAGCCTTTTTAGTAAAAAATTCAAATTATCATGTCTAGAAAATACGAGTAATGCAAAAAATAGAATAATTTTTTTTCTAAAAGAACTGAAATTTAAAAAAAAAAATCAAATGAAAGACAAGAGTTCTTCTTAACTAAATTTTTTTTTGGGAAAAAAATATTGAAATATTTTAAAATTGCTATGTGCACTCTTTAAATCTTTAAAAAAAATTAAATAAAGAAGAATAAAAATGAAGAAACTGTTCATTAATCACATTAACACTGTAGGAATGTTAAAAAATTAGATGATAAAAACAATAATTGGGAAATTTTCATTTAGTTTTGCTTGGGCCCATACGGTTATTTGTTTTCACATGGTTCATGCTAAATATTGTGTGTCTAGTAATTAGGTTTAGTGGATTACTCATTCTATTTAAAACCTGAACTCCTAATGTAATACCTGTGAACAATTATAAAATATTATACCTAAAACGTCTACTTTTTGTTATATTTTAGATTTGTTTATGAACGAGCCCATTCTTGACTCAATTTTAAAACATTTTAATCATTACATCATTATTACCAATACAAGATGTAGTTGTTTATCTTTATTATTAATTCTTGCAAGAACAACTAAATGGAAATTTCTTCCTACAGCTGGAGAACATATGAATGACGTATTCAATGGAACAATTCAAGGCAGAAAAATTTAAAAATTTTTCTCCTTAAACTGGACTTGAACCAACCGCTTTCTAGGCGGGCGCTATACCAACTATTAGAGCAACAAATTAAACACTTTTCAAATGACTATTTTTCATTTCGATTGCTAAGACCAAACGTTATAATTTCAGGATATGAAGAAAAGACGTTTACAAAGTCATATTTGAATCGCAGAACATGTGACAATTGAATCATAACTGTTTTCAAAATTTATTATAATTCAAAATAGAGAACAGAAAATTTCCTTACATGAATTTTCCTCAGAGACGAGAACAAATACACTCGTTATAAACTCATGTCCAAGTTTACTACATCCCTTGAATCTAATTCCATACATAGAATATGAAGAAATTTTAGAATGTTCTCATTAAACAAGGATAATACAAGGATAGTTCATTCTTCCCTTTTTTGAATCTACACATTTTAAAGGAATGAAAGAAAAAATTCTAAATCTATACATTAGTCCTGTATTTAATGAAACTAAATTTCTGTTTTTCTAAACAGTCGAAAAAATTTATAATAAATGAATATAGATATATAAACATTTAACAGTAGTAGTGTACGAAAAATTCTTAAATTTTTAGAATTTGGTTATACTTCTTCCTCCTCTTAATTTTCTTCTTAATATATTATAGTAAATATATATAAGCACATGTACACCGGCCCATAAATACAAAATGCAGACTAGTTGATCGTTTTGTTTTCATAAGTATGTATGTATGTACTAAAAAAAAAATAAGAAAAATTTCAAGTGAAGTAATCAGTAGAGAATTGAAATGTTTGTGTTCTATTTTAAGTCTAAAGCTAATTTATCACATTTTCGTCTGTATAATGTTTCGTATTTCTTTCTTTTCATATTTTTGTGTATAACCATAGAATAGTACGAAAAAAAATATTGGTCTCTCTCTATATAATAGCCGTAGGTAAAGCACATAGTATAAAAATAAAATTCAAATGCAATGCATTAGATATGATGTAGGAATTTTGTATGTAGCTACTCTAGATATTTTAAACATTAAAATGGTGCTCCCCCCCTTTTTTTCTTATTTATTTTGTTGTTGATTATGGTTACGTATACCATAATGTGAAAAAAATTAGAAGTTAAAGGACTAATATGTGGTTAACAATTTTTAATAAATTAAATAGTTTTTCTTTTTTTTTCATTTATTTTTCATGAAAAATTACTTGAAATTTATTTAAAGAGTAGATTTTTCATTTTAAATAAAATTTTATTCTGTTAAATTATTTATATTTAGCGGTAGGAAAAAGTTTAGGAATTTAAGGTAACTTATGAGAGAAATTTTTGGTGCAGTGAACATTTAAAGGAATCTGTATATTATATGACAATTTTCCAGCCCCATCTCTATAAATAGGTATGAACACAGAATTTCTGAAGAAATATTTAAATTCGTTTAAGCAATAGACTTAGACTTCTTTATTACAGTAAGCAGCTGACGAAATCATGTCTAAAATTTTTAATAACAATGTTTGGTATATTGTCCATGAATAATTGCTCTAAGCATTGTTGTTATAATTTCATTATTAATTTTAAAATTTCATATTTATAAGAAAAATTTCAGTTTCACCTGTATAAAATAACAAAAAAAAAAAAACAACAAAAAGTCATTTTAACTTTCATGGTGACTAAATTATATTTTTAATTAATGATCATTTCTTTTAATAATTTAAAGTGAGTATACCAGCAGTTTGTTATGTCACATTTCACAATTAATTACAAAAAATAAATTAATTTTTAACAATTTTTATGTCTTTTTTGTTTGCAAAAGTAAGTAAAAAAACAAAGAGAAAAAATTAACATGTCAAGAGTTTTTAATTTTCCAAAGTTTCCTATGAATATTAAATAGGTAAATGCGTTTCTTAAAACAATTTAAACCTACTTATATAATATGTGTATATGTATGTATGTATATAAAACTGTATAATGTATACATATATATATATACTCATATTGTACTCGCTAAGTTGCTATAATATAAGAAATTAGTCTTTAACCGTATAAATTTGGGTATTTTATCAGTATGTTCATTTAGATATAGTAAGAGTTCATATATATGTACCTACTAAACATAAGTATGCGTCTATATATACCCATATATATATTATATACATATATATGCACATAATTATAATGTAGTAGACACATTTATCTGTTTATATATTAGAGCTTTAATTTTGAAAGTTAGTATAGCAAAAAAGATAATGAGGTAATCATCTTAATACCATGGAGCGCAGAAATTAATCAAAAAAAAAAATTAAAATAAATTCAACTGAGCAAAAAGAGTCATTAAAAAAATTTTTTTTATTTTTTTTTTTCTTTAAATAATTATTTACTATTGTTAAAGATAAAAATTTTAATTTATTATATACTTCCTAAAAATTAATAAAATTTAAAGGAAATTATTATTTATTAAAAAAAATTTTATTATATAAAGTTGATCTTTTATTGAGATAATTATAGTATTTGAATAAAATAATTCTTATAAATAAAAATGTTGCGTCTACTTATGACGTAATCAGAAATGTTTGGAACAAATTTTTGATCTAAAATATAAAGTCTATACAGTCACAATAAAATGATATTAAATTTAAATTATGTGAGAGTACAGAGAGCCCATATACTTTAATATGTTAAGTTTAAAATGAGAGAAAATTTTCTCTTAAATTGAGTGTTCCCTAGAAGTATAACAATATGCAACAGAATGCATGAATTTTATTAAATTTATACAATAGAAGACAGTTATTATTGTACAGAAAGAGAAATATTGAAATGAGAGCAAGTAATATTTACATTTATAATTTTGATAGTTACATTCAAGCATAAGTTATATTTAAATTATTATTCAAGTCGAGAGATAAACGTTCTCTTTCGAAATATTTTTATTGCTGTTAAAGATTGTCGTTTAGAAATTGCTCTATGGTCACTGTTTAAGCATACAATAAGAAATTTTTTTATAAGAATACAATATGTTAAAAGTGAGCATTATTTTCGGTCTTACACTAAACATTTTATCAAATTAAA